ATAAAAAAATTAATCTGTCAAATTATTTGAATTATAATTAATCGTAGATTGTGTATGTTTACCGGTCTGGTTTGATGTCTCCTATCCGGAACATAAACATGCCAATTAAATTAAACGAAACGACAATTATTGTTTAGTAAATACCTTTACAATCTAAATATTAATAGGTCTACTATATCAAACCCAAATATATTTACTTACATAGCAGCCATTTCTTTTCTAACTTTATATATGTTACTGCTATGCCAAAGACCACGCCGGTGACGGGAGAAATAATTTCTATATACCACGTGACTATCGTGGTCTGGATTACAAAGTCTGTTCACTAAAGCTTTGTGTATCAGAAAGTAAGTACGTGATAATCCCGATTATTGCACATGCGTTACGTCAATTTCGGGGAATTTTGAAAACAGATTTTTAAGTAGGATTTGTTACAACCCCTATTGTAATAACAACCCCTATTGCAATAAATGTAATAATTGTAATACAATTTCAATTAACCCCTATTGTAATAATTGTAATTAATGCATTTTACCATACAATAAATTCGACTTCTAAATTTAAAAGTCAATGGATTTTGAAAACCCATTGAATATCAATATATAGAAGTAATGGTATACTGCATAGAATATTATGAAACGACGCGACCGAAAACATGATTAAAGGCCGATAACGAGATTGGAGAACTTATTAAAATAGAATGTCAGCCCATATTGTTATCAACGATATTTAACAAAAACGTAAAATATGTTCTCTAATCTATCTGTCGTCTGAGGATTTTGAACATCTTTTCCGTGTGCATATCAGATAAAATAATCTTCCTGATAGCATTTTTTAAAATCCTTCTCTACATTTAGACACAATTATTACAATAGGGGTTGACATTACAATAGGGGTTACACGGTATAACCCCGATTGTAATAAAATTTCTGTCAACCCCTATTGTAATAATTGTAATAAATGTGTCTTGCCATGTCAAAAAAATCGACACCTAGCTTTACATGTCTATGGATTTTGATCACCATATCCGTATCAATATATAAGAGTACTGGTATGAATTTATACTGTATAGAATATTATGAAAACCCCCCACTGAAATCATGTCTCAAAGCCGTTTGGAGAATTAAGAAAATGGAGAGTCAACTCCTATTGTAATCAATGATATTTAAAAAACAACTGAGGTATGTTCTCTGAAATATCGGTGGTCTGGGGATTTTGAACATCTTTTCCTTGTGCATATCAGATAAAAAAAATCCCCCGATTGCATTTTTTAAATTCTCCTCTGCAGTTAGACAAATTTATTACAATAAGGGTTGATATTACAATAGGGGTTACACGGTATAACCCCTATTGTAATAAAATTTCTGTCAACCCCTATTGTAATAATTGTAATAAATGTGTTTTGCCATTCCAATAAAATCGACACCTAACTTTAAAAGTCTATGGATTTTTATCACCCTTTCCGTATCAATATATAAGATAATGGTAGGCCTTTATACTGTATAGAATATTACGAAACAAAACCACCGAAAACATGTCTCAAAACCATTTGAAGAATTATTAAAATGAGGATGTTGAAAATCTTTTCCGTGTGCATATCAGACAAAATATTCCTGCTGATAGCATTTTTTTTTAAATCCTTCTCTACACTTAGACACATTTATTACAATAGGGGTTGATATTACAATAGTGGTTACACGGCATAACCCCTATTGTAATAAAATTTATGTCAACCCCTATTGTAATAATTGTAATAAATGTGTTTTGCCATTCCAATAAAATCGACACCTAACTTTAAAAGTCTATGGATTTTTATCACCCTTTCCGTATCAATATATAAGATAATGGTAGGCCTTTATACTGTATAGAATATTACGAAACAAAACCACCGAAAACATGTCTCAAAACCATTTGAAGAATTATTAAAATGAGGATGTTGAAAATCTTTTCCGTGTGCATATCAGACAAAATATTCCTGCTGATAGCATTTTTTTTTAAATCCTTCTCTACACTTAGACACATTTATTACAATAGGGGTTGATATTACAATAGTGGTTACACGGCATAACCCCTATTGTAATAAAATTTATGTCAACCCCTATTGTAATAATTGTAATAAATGTGTTTTGCCATACCTATAAAATCGACACCCCTATTGTAATAAATGTGTCTAAGTGTAGAGAAGGATTTTAAAAAATGCTATCAGGAGGATTATTCTCAGACGACATATAGTTTAGAGAACATATTTTACTTTTTTGTTAAATATCGTTGATTACAATATGGGCTGACATTCTATTTTAATAATTTCTCCAAACTCGTTAACGGCTTTTAATCATGTTTTCGGTCGCGTTGTTTCATAATATTCTATGCAGTATAGCATTACTCCTATATATTGATATTCAATGGGTTTTCAAAATCCATTGACTTTTAAATTTTGATGTCGAATTTATTGTATGGTAAAATACATTAATTACAATTATTACAATTGGGGTTAAAAATTTATGTGGATTGCAACAACGAAGACAGAACAAAATGGGAACTGATTCTATAAGGGTTCGAAGCTTTTATATGTGCTGAATAATTTGCCGGTATTACCAAAAATGGGAAAATATGTGGTGGGATGGCGTGTGTTATGGAGCGAAGTGTGTTGTGGGTTGAGTTAGTATTGAGTGTTAGGATTAAGTAAAAATGTCAGTAAAGTTCATATAATATTTGTCATTGTCTTAGTTTTGATTTTCCTAAACTGATCAGCGGGCTTGCATGGCCGCATGGTTAACGCGTGTGTTTGCCATTGAGTAGCGTGGTTTCGATTCCCCGGTTGTACGTGACAAGGAGTAGGGTCGCCATTTACAACCTCGTGAGTTTCATGGTTTTCTCCGAGTCTTCTGGTTTCCTCCCACTGATAAAGTCCCCTCCGTGCAAGCGAATTATTGAAATAAAATTGAATCAAATGTTAGTCTCGAAATTATGGAAGATCAAACAGCTCTATATTCAGTGTTCGTAATTCTTAATTCATAGTCCTTAATTCTTATTTCTTCATTTGTTGTCGTATTTCGATATTTCTTCAAAATGATTTCTCGAAATTCATCGAACCGAAATATTATGGCTTACAATAAGTCACCATACAACAAAGGAGAATCGAGCAAACATGTATACCATAAGAAAAATCGCACGATGACTGTGTCTTTAGTGAAATTGAGCGCGTGTTTTGTCTGATAGCGACATAATGTCTGATAGCGACATATTTCTTTGGACAAACGAAAGAGGGCTTTATCTCTTCTAAATCATGTAATCATGCATGAGCCAGTAAAATAGCTGATACTCGTATATTCAAAGAGCGATAGACAAATACTTGTCATCACAGGATAACTGGAATTTCGTATTAAGACGCTCCCGTATATTGTCTTTTAAATAGGCCCTCCCTCACTAAATAGAGTTCAGACAATCCAAATTGTATCTTCTTTAACAAGGAACGTAAATATGATTATGTCAGAAAATATTTTACAATTGTGGAAACGTATTGGGACCTTTTTAATGATATTCATCCCGATATCTTGTATTTTGTGTTATGACCCGTATTTTGACGTTAAATACCACCCCCTCCACATTTAATACATGTTAGTGCCATTTCAAATTTGATCTTTGTTAAAGGCATAGAAATACAAATGTGCAAGAAAATAATTAACATTTTGTAGCAAACAATAAACATACGTTCCAGCTGTATATGAACAGATATTGAGAATATCTTATTAAGATCGTTTTTTTTACTTTAAATATCCCTCATCTCCCCCCCCCCCACTTAATAAGGTTAGTACCGTGGAACTTTGATCTTTTTTCAAGGTATGTAAATACACATGTGCAAGAAAATAACTTGAAAAGTTGTACGCTATTAAATTCTATTAATTGATTGGGAGGGGGTGGATGGGGTCTTAAATGTCAAACTAGGGGTCATACTACGACATTTCAGATATCATACAGAATACCACTGAAAAGAAGTTTCATTTACCTTTCTAAAAATTATATGCTGGCACATTTAAATTTACATAGCTTGAAAAAGGTATTAACGTTGGGTGACGATAAATACCATTAAATTAGTGGGGGGAGGGAGAGGTATTTAAAATGTAAAATGCGGGTTGTCGTATATTGCATGAGCGGAAAGTATTTATTTCTTTATCCTTCTTTCAATATATTACTTATTCCCTGGCACATTCATGATTACATGATTTAGAAGAGATAAAACGCCCTTTCGTTTCAGCACAGAAATATATCGCTATTTAGACAAAACCTAATTTCTGAAAATAGACCACTTTCAATTTATTTTCTTTCTCGCAGGCCCGGCCCGATTAACCATACTACGTACGTGGTTTCACTAGAGTCGCGGTCATCGAGCGACATTTCTTTTTGTATATGCTTGCTCAATTCTCCTTTATTGTTTGCAAGGTTGATTTCCACTCATGTCATAATATTCGCGTTCGATGGATCTCGAGAAATGTTATTGAAGAAATATTTTTTGAGAAATGTTTTACAAGATTTGTATTTGGAAATTTGTTGTTCGAGATTTGTTTTTCGTTGTATTTCTCTGATAAAATGTAAATGTAGATTAATTTTTGATTTTCTAAAATAAATTTTATCTTTTTATTAAAATACAATTAAAATACATTTTACAAATCTGATATGACAAATTTCTGATTTGTAAAACAAATATTGATTTTATACAAATGTTAATTTTAGTGTACAGATGTCGAAATACGACAACAAATGAAGAAATAAGAATACTATGAATTAATAAGTATTGTGCCCACAATACTTAAATCATAGACAAGATATTAATTCCAGGATTTTAAGACAATATATAAATTTTGCATTATCTTTTTTTTGAACTATTATAACAAGAACGGACAACCCTTGATCTAAATCTTACATAACCTTAACCTTACAGATTTCGTTGAAGGTGAAACTTAAAAATATATCTTTTATTATTTATGTTTGTTTCGTTACAGCTCAAAGCCTGAAATGAAATGCCAATGTAGCAAATGTATGGTACGGCCTTGTGGAGCTGAATGTCTTCACTGTATCACGTCGCTCTGTTGTCGCTCTGTTCAAGCAATTGACAAGTATATGGCTGGCAAACCCAACGGGGCTTGTGTCATCGAAGAAGATTTCTTCATCAAAGAATGTTTGAATCAGGAGAAATTGAAAGAACTGTATCCTAAATATGAAAGAGGAGGGCTGCGTGATGGGGGGCATGTTAACGAGTGAGTAGGCCTATTATTATCGTCTATTTTCAAATTTGGTGTGACAGTCCGGCGGTCAAAGCTTGGGAACCAAACTGGTCCAGATAATATTTTTTCCTTACGGGGTTATATGGAATCGGGCCCACTAAATCCATTTCTTGCTACTGGTTCACTGCCAGCATGGAATTGTTTGAGTAATTGGCTAATTAATAATTAATTAGTTTCCCATTTGTTTAAAAACGCCGCTGTAATATTGTTTTGAAATAGAATAGGACCCCTGTTTCCATTTCCGCAATCGATTCCGGGAGTTAAAGTGCACATAAGATGGTCCCGGAAGATTTGAGATACGTGTAGCCAATGATTACTATATCCACTTTACGGCAAGTTCACGCCAATCTGATTGAAATTAATTCAGTTATCTTCATTCAAAGTCGTAAAAATAGACCTTTCGTAAAAACGGCTTTGCCAATTATCGAAAACACTCTTAATCCCCTCAGACGCCAGTGACGTCACAGTGACCGAATGCATATTCGGAATGTTTATTCTTTAATTACCTATATACAGCCCCCTAATTAAATAAAACAATTGACTACGGAATAATTTGTTTTGTAATTCATTTTAATTTAAGATCCAATTTAGAGTGCCTGCAACTTTTAAACTTTGAAGTCCTGAACTCTTATCAATTATTTTTTTACAATATGGAACTTATTGGACGAACACTTTTAATATGTAAAAAATATACGGGTCCAGTTATGTGGTTTTTACTGCGAGCACTTCGCTTTTCCACATAAAGTGTAGTGTCGTTAATATCTGTCATTAATTAATCAATCCGACTATAAAGGTTATACAGGCATGGGTCATAAATTACACAGATAACAATACCCCCACCTTTACTTGTCTGCCTAGGAAAACTATATACATGATAGCCATCTTGTTTTACATCGTCATCACCCTGGATCCAACACTCATACAGGAGTATAATATCATATTTACAAATACAACTTACAAAATCGTCGCTTTTCAATTTTTTACACAAACCTTTATTAACATTCCAAGATATTACACACAGTCCACTCTCCGAAATGTCCTACGCGTAGAGTCTTTCTTGGGGTGATTCGTCGTTGGAACTGGAACTAAAGTGTGCATGCCGTTTTGCAGGGGGTCTCCTTCCTTCCCATGGTCTACTGTAGTACATTGGTCTGTCTCCGAAAGTTTTGGGTGGATCCACTCCACTATGAGTTCCAGCATTATATGGTTCGTTGTTAACAAAAAGTTTGTCTCTAACTAACCTGGTTCGATGTCCTTTAAGTTTAAGTTGTTTTATGATTGGATACAACTTTCTGCGTTCGCTTTCGATGACTTCTGGATACTGTTCGTTGATTCCGTATGTAGAACCTTTCAACACACATTAATTGTATAAAATAAATTAAGTTTTACTAATAAGTTGTTTAAAATTACTATATACCCAATAATTATTGCTCACCGGTGTTTTTGTAATCAAGTAGCCTCGTATTGTTTATTGATTGGCGTTTAAACAACATTTAATTGATGGATGGATTAACGTTTTTGATACGATTAGGTTATAATGTCTAACATCGGTTATCTTCTTTATAATAAAAGTATTTTACAATTGCATCTCCTATTTTAACTTTCATTATGACAAAGTGAGAAGATGACCCGCCCTCTCTTCCCACGACAACGATTTTCAAGCCATTTTTAAAACCGTGTTTTAAATTGATTTTTAGATATACAAGAACTTTTAATTATTTAAATCTGTTTTAAAGTGACGTTTAGATATACAAGAACTTTATATTATTTAGTGTTTTTACCTAACTTCTATTTTTTATTTAAGTAAATAACATAATCAAATCAACCTGTCCATAATATCATGCATTATGTATTGGACGTTAAATTTGTAAACAACAACGCTGTTGACAGTTTAATCACTCACCAAACGGCACCAGGAACTCCACGAATGATCCCGTGCAATTTTCGCGGCGAAGTTTAACCTCATTTACTACACCCGTAGTACATGGAACGGTACATGATAATAAGATACCAACCCACATAACAATATGATGTTAATTTTACGTTACATTTACGTAAAAATGGTCAGTCAGTTTACCATCATTTTGCTCATCTTTTTAACGATAATTTTACGTCAGGAAATGACGTTAATCTAACGTAAACTTTACGTCATTTTTACGTTATATTTACGTCATTTTCTGACGTAAATCTAACGTAAACTTTACGTCATTTTCTGACGTAAATCTAACGTAAATTTTGCGTAAAGTTTACGTCATTTTGGTTAGATTTAAGTCAGAAAATGACGTAAACTTTACGTTAGATTTACGTCAGAAAATGATGTAAATATAACGTAAAAATGACGTAAACTTTACGCTAGATTAACGTCATTTCCTGACGTTAAATTGTTGTTAAAAGGATGAGCAAAATGATGGATATCTAACAGACCATTATGACGTAAATCTAACATTAAATTAACATCATTTACGGATGCAATTCTAATGTCAAATTTTGATGAGCAAAGTTACGAAAATATAACCAACCATTAAAACCTTCAAAATTATTCATTATTTGCCGCAGTAAATGGGAAGTACATTCAACCAATAATCAAATTTTCCTGACCCGTGGGTGAGGCTAGAAGTTGAGTGGTCCAACATGTGCGCTTTAGATCATAAGGTCTGTCATTGAGTCAAGTGGTTTGTTTCCACACCCAACTTGAACATGGGTTTTCTCTGGGTCCCCCTACTACTAAAGATTCCTGGTGCGAGTGAATTATTCAACTTGAATTGAATCACTTAGTCCCAAAGGACAGTTTATGTCTATTGGATGTTTTACCCCATTGCTCTCTATCTACCCGTAACCAGTCAGAATTCTAAATGTATTGCACAGAAAAGTTAAAAATCTAGCAGAATTATATGACAAAATATACTACAAGTATGTATACATGTACTTTATTTAAAAGACAAAAATATAATGTTACAAAATACACATTTAAATATTAACAGTTTTTATCCACAGCTGTTTGAGAAATGAAGACGGGCATATGCCACACAGTGTGCTATGAGGGAAATTTTGCCTGAACAGCAGAGCTATGGCATACTCTTATATAAAATTCCAACTGCCAAGGGATCTTTCACACACACACACTTGAGTTTACACTGTACCTTGTTTTTTTCAATTCCGTTTCACTAGTCAGCCATCCATGTCAGGTCCTATGTCCGGCATCACTGACAAGGGAAAATGTTCAAGAAAAAGGCCTACATTAGCGCTATGAAAGTGTTGATATGCATATAAGAAAGGAAAACTGGGATATTGACCAAATTGGGCCAAAACCTATAGCCTCTATCTCGTTTGCTCAAGGTATTGATAGAATAGGAGTTAACTTTGGAATGAGTGAAATGAAATGGGGTTTAATGTCCTATTCCGACAGGGCTAATGACATGGAAATATGCTATACAGTGTGCTATTATGGAATTTTATCCAGACAGCGGCGCTAAAGCATACTCTTATATCGAATTCCAACTGCCTGGGGATCTTTCACTTGCACACCAATGTGTGCACAGGACCTCGGTCATTCGTACCATCCAAACGACTAGACAGCTGTCCCTCCTTGTCAGGCCACTGGCTATCTAGTCTGGAGGTCGGGTGTTCGATCCCTGCATTGGCCGAGAAAGTTACTCCAGATTTTCCGGCGTGGTTCTCCCTTGTCAGTGATGCAGGACGGAGGGCTAGACAAGACAGCTGTCTAGTCATTAAAATGGGACAAAAAAATGAGGTCCCATGTACACATTGGCGTGCACGTACAAGAGCCCTTGAAGTTAGAATTCGATATAAGAGAACGCCGTAGTGCCACTGTCCGGGCAAAATTTCCCACATAGCACACTGTATGGCGTATGGCCATCTTCATTAGCCCAGTGCGGAGCAGAACAGTTGGACGTTAAACCCCGATTCATTTCATTTCATTTCGCTAGCCACAGCTCTGTTTTCTTTCACCAAAGGGGGGGGGGGGGCTCAAGTGGCTAAGACGCTGGCTCGCTAGCCTGGAGGTCGGGTGTTCGATCCCTGTATTGACCGAGAAAGTTCATCCCGATTTTCCGGCGTGGTTTCCCTTGTCAGTGATGCAGGACGGAGGGCCTGACAAGGACAGCTGTCTAGTGGTTATGGGACGAAAAACCGAGGTCCCGTGTAGACATTGGCGTGCACGTAAAAGATCCCTTGGCAGTTGGAATTCGATATAAGAGTAGGCCGTAGCCCCATTGCCCAGGCAAAATTTCCCTCATAGCACACTGTATGGCGTATGCCCGTCTTCATTAGCCCAGGTTAGGAGCAGAACAGTAGGACGTTAAACCCATTTCATTTCATTTCATTTTTTTCACCAAAGACCACATAAATACTTCATTTAGCACTTGTCATTTGAAACAGTTATAGCCTATGTCTTGTCTGGAAGAGGGGGCATCATCACATTACCATACAGGGTATAAGTCGATGTTGAGTATAAGTCAAATTGCCAAATTTTATATTTTTCCGACCTACATCCATAATTAAGTAGAGGCGGTATATAAGACGAATGTTTTTCAACTCCACGAGTTTCGGGACTGTTATCCTAGTCTAGTACGCCGAAGAAAAGTTGGGCCATATAAATAATGATCATGAATTTTATATTTACCGTGCTCGTGCACGCTGAAGAAAAGTTGGGCCAAATAAAAGTTGAATCGCCATATTTTACTGTTTTTCCGACCTCCATCCATATATAAGTCGAAGCGGAGTACAAGACGGAGGTCGTATTTCGGTGGAAAAAGGTATCAACTTATACCCCGTAAAAAATATGGTAACTCTGATCGGGAAAGTCATGAAAAGCTGAATATCGATAAGGTTCGTCCTCTCATGATCGCAATGTTTCACACCCAGTTTGAAAAGAATTTGTTACCAACTATAGCCATTATCACATTCACAAGACAATTGTCACAAGGTGTTCGCAAAACGGAAAGTCTCTGTTT